GCCTAGGACCAGAGTTCAAGCCCCACGACGACCAAAAAAAAAAAAAACAAAAACCACAGGCAGCAGGCTGGGTGCTGACGGCTCACACCTGTAATCTTAGCTACTTAGGAGGCTGAGATTTGAAGATTAAGGTTCAAAGCCAGCCTAGTCAGGAAAGTCTGTGAGACTCTTACTTTCAATTAACTACCTGGAACCCAGAAGTGGAACTATGTATGGCTTATAGAGTGCTAGCCTGGAGCAAAAAAGCTAAGAGATAGCACTCAGGCCCTGAATTCAAGGCCCACAAGCAACATCTCCCCGCCGTCACCCCCCCCCCCAAAAAAAAAAGCCAGAAGTGGAGTTTGTGGTTCAAGTAGTATAACACAAGCCTTGAGCACAAAAGCTCAGGGACAGTGCAGTACCTAGGCCCGGAGTTCACAACCCAGGACCAACACATACACACAAAAAGGCAGTGTGTGTATATGGAGAGGGGTGCTAGTCTGAGTAGCCAGAGGCCACCAACTCCAACTTCTGATGTTGAAGCCCAAAAGATAAGGGTGAACAGCAGAAGCAGAGCAGTCATGTTCTTAGGGATAAATAGTTTTCAAATGAAGCCAGAGGATGGTAAGAAAATAGGTTTGCAGGGGCTGGGAAGGTGGCTCAGTGGTAGAGTGCTTGCCTCATGCATGCCCTGGGTTCGATTCCTCAGCACCACATAAGCAAAAAAAAAAAAAAGCCGGAAGTGGCGTTGTGGCTCAAGTGGTAGAGCGCTAGCCTTGAGCTGAAGAGCTGAGGGACAGCGCCCATGCCCAGAGTTCAAGCCCCATGACCGACAAAAAAAAAGAAAAAAGAAAAAGAAAATAGGTTTGCGGACCACAAGCCCACATTCTGGAGTTTATAGTTAGGGTAAGTTGAGATAGGGTCTAACTAATTATAACTGGCAGCAGCTTAACCAGTGCTCTTATAACAGATGACTACAAAGACTAGGAGAGTGACTCAGAGGCACCGTGGGATTCCTCCTGAGCATTTTGTAGACAGGTGGGCACTGGGTCCTAGGCTGTAAGCCTGAATGTTTGAATTGTTATTATCTTCAAAGTAGGCAATGCAGTAGAATGTCTCCTAGATGTTAAAAACTTTATGCAAGGTGAATATATAGTACTAGGCCTAGGCCTAAACCTTTTTTTTTTTTCATTTTGGTAACAGTATTGTATCACCAAAGGCTTGATGTTTTCTTTTTTCTGTAGGCTTGAACTCAGGGCCTGGGCTCTGTACATGAGCTTTTTTATTCAAGCCAAGCTTTCTACCACTTAGGCCATAATTCCACTTCTGTTTTTTTCTTTCTTTCTTTCTTTTTTTTTTTTTTTGGGGGGGGGGGGGGTACATAATTGGAGATAAGAGTCTCACACTTTCCTGTATGAGCAACGTCAGTCTCTGAGTAGGATTACAGGCATGGACCACTGGCTAAGCCTGGTGCTTTCGAAATGTCCAATGAGACTTTGAGTGAATAAATTACCTGGGAAAGACTCTAGTCCATCCCTCTTTCCTCCCCATTCTGCCCACTGGCATCTAAAGCCTCCTCAAGAGGCTGATTGGTTTGTTTGGTCATTTCTACCCCATCTCCACAGAGATCTACTCAGACACCAGTACAAGTCACTACCCACCAGGGGTTTAATTGTCCTAGATCAGAAAGTCAGTTCAAAGGGGGACCCTGCCTCATCCCCATCCAGGGGAGAAGATCTGCAGGGTACCTTGGGAATGTCCAAGCCCAGAGGAACCAGGGACTAATCCCTGAGCAAGTGGAGAAGTGGGTCCTCGGGTCTCAGGCTGCTTCTTCCTCTTCACTCTCCTCCTCACTTTCATGATACTGTCTGCGGTTGGTGTTAACAAAGAGGTCAGAATCATCTTCAGAGCCAGACTCTTCTCCTGAGGTCTGTGGCTCAGCCGGAAGCTCTGGCTGAGGCTGTCTGCAAAACGAAGACAACAGAGTTAGTTCAACACCTTCTGGGAAAACCAAGGAGTTCCCCATTCCTCCCCACCACCACCCCGCCCCTCCCCCCCAAAAAAACACCATTTAGTCAAGCAGCCAGGAATACACAGGTCTTCAAAAATGCAGCAGTCCCTTAAAGACTAAAAGGAAGGATGGAATCAAGCAAACAGCTGGAAATCTTGGCCAAAGAAAACAGGCTAAAGATTGCCCCCTATAGTGGGGCATGGTGGTAGATACCACAGTGTAGTCCCAGCTACTTGGGTGACAGGCAGAGGATTTCAAATTGAAGGTCAGCCCAAGCAAAGTTAAGAGACCAATCTCAAAAAACAAGACACAAAAACCTATATTCTAGCACAGAGTTGGGAGTTCTCATTAGGTACTGTGCACAGGGAGAAAGGTAGGCTCAAGTTGCCCTCCGGGAATTACATGTGGGCCCTTCTTTTGTGTCCCTTGACCTAGAACTTGCTTCTCACCTGTTCCTGTTGTTTTGTTTCTCAGCCACTTCAGAGAAGGCTTCAGGCCTGTGCCAAGAAAAGAGGCAGGTTAGAGAAAACCTCTCAGTAAGAGAGCTGTTTTCAGTTGCACCTTTCCTCCTGTAGTTTCCTCAATAGGAGGTCAATCTTTCTTTTTTTTGGGTCCGGTCGTGGGGCCTGAACTCTGGGCCTGGGCGCTGTCCCTCAGCTCTTCAGCTCAAGGCTAGCGCTCTACCACTTGAGCCACAGCGCCACTTCCGGCTTTTTTGTTTTTGCTTATGTGGTGCTGAGGAATCAAACTCAGGGCCTCGGGCATGCAAGGCAAGCGCTCTACCATTGAGCCACCTTCCCAGCCCAGGAGGTCAATCTTTCTAAGAGCCAGAGGGCCAATCAATGATCAAGGTGGGGACCAACCTACCAGAGTCCTTCCTTTTGCAGAGAGCGCACATGGTCCTTGCAAAGCACAAAGGAGATCTCGGCCTTTACCTTCTCTCCCTCTTCAATGGGGTCAACAATGAGAAAGTCTCCTGTGGATGACACAAGACAAAGCCAGTCACCACTTGCACTGGGGGAAGCCAAGGCCATAGGAAATGGTCTGTCTCTTAGAGGGCTGCCTTTCTCACCTCTCTTGATCCAGATGTTTTTGCGGTATTTGGAGGGCATGCTCACCAGGAAGCGCTGCCCCTGTGCTGTCTCTACCTCATGTAGATTGTTTCCTGGGGTCCTGAGTACCTGTTCCAGGAAAACCAATATAAGCCTCTACCCCATGGATCCAATATAAGTGGAAACCAGGAAGAGCTGCTTGGCCCAGTGCCACTTACCCTCACAATCTGCTGCTGGTCAGAGGGCACCATGTGTTCCCCCAGCACCTCCTTCACTACATGCTTCCTCTTGGTGACCTGAGACATGCCGAGTCCTGTCCAGAGTGCTTAGTGAAGCAGAGACTATCAACTTCTCCTCACGATGTCTTTGGATGGCAGACTCAGAAGCCAGGGCTGCTTTGAAGATGTGCAGCCTTATACTGAGGAGTGTGCTAGTTAAAAATATGAGATCTTCAATGTATATATGTAAAAATGGAACTAGGAAACTTGAGGGTATGGGTAGGTTGGGATTGATGGGAGGGGGAGTAATGGGAGAGGTGACTCTGATCTAGATGCACTGTACCCATAAACTGACATTCTTATTTATTTTTTGGGGTCCAGTCATAGGGCCTGAACTCTGGGCCTGGGCACTGTCCCTCAGCTCTTCAGCTCAAGGCTAGTGCTCTACCACTTGAGCCACAGCACCACTTCCGGCTTTTTTCTGTTTATGTGGTGTTGAGGAATCGAACCCAGGGCCTCATGCATGCAAGCGCTCTACCACTGAGGCACCTTCCCAGCCCCATAGACTGACATTCTTAATTAAGCCCCTTCCCCCTTTTTTTTTTTGTGTAGGTCCCAGGGTTTTAACTCAGGGCCTGGGTGCTGTCTCTGATATCTTGTGCTCAAGACTAGCACTCTACCACTTGAGCCACAACTCCACTTTTAGGCCTTTTGGTGGCTAATTGGAGATAAAGAGTCTCATGGACTTTCCTGCTTGGTCTGGATTTGAGCCATGATCTTCCTCCTGATCTCAGCCTCCTGAAAAGCTAGGATTACAGGCATGAACCACGAACACCCAGTCTTTAAAACCCCTTTGTATGAGTAGTTTAAAATACTTTAAAAAAAAAACTATATGCATAGCAGAAAGTTATCTAGAACAGTCATTCTAGCAACTTCTCCGGAGAAGTCTGACATAAACTGAACCTTATTCAACCAGCTTGTACACCCCAAGTCTAGCACTGCCACACACAGACAGACGCCCAGTCTCTCTGCACACCACAGGGGCAGAGACTAACTCACTACGACAGTCCAAATCAGAACCCTGTTAAAAGTCGCGGGTCAGCAGGCTTACCATAGTCGAGAACTCAGTACCACCAAGACCAATGGTTTCCAAAGCAAAGTCCGACGCGCCGTCTCCGGCTGCGCCCCTGCCGCCCTCCTCTCCCGCCCGGGAATAAAGATGCACACTTACCCTGGCCCTCGGGTCCACGGGCGCTGTCGGGTCAGCTGACGCTGGGAGCGACTGGAGCGCGACTCGCTTCCAGACTCAGCCAACGAAGACGCAAAGACTGGTCCTGCCGACGATCGGGACGGCGGAGCCGGCGTCAATCCCGATCTCCGGTGTTCCCAGGTCCCGCGAAGCCAGAAGCGAGTCCGAGTCAGACGCCTACAAGAACGGAGTTTCCGGCGCTCTTCGGAATCCTCCCGGCCACCCTTCCTTTCCTTTGTCCGTCCCTCTAATCCTTCCTGGTGTCAGGTCGGGCAAAATGAAGTCCTAGAGTTCCGGGTGCCGGGCAGCAGAGGAGCCTTCGCTCCCTCCTCAGGCAACGCGGGCCGCCGGCAAGCGAGCGCACGGGGGGCGACGCCGCTTCCGAGGGCGGCTGGTGCGGAGGCCGCGGGGCTCTGGGCGCCTCAGCTCTATGCCCCGCAGGCAGCTAGAAGCGCCCAACTTACAGTATTTTTCTTAGGGCGGGTCTTAAGGCGACCCGGAAGCGGAAGCCGAGGAACGTTCTAGCGCCCTGAGGTATCGGCGTGAGCGGCCGGGTGGCGGGAGGAGCCGTTACTGGAGCCGGAGCTGCGGGGTGAGCGCGAGCTGCGGAACAGGCCTTGGCTGGAGGCCGAAGGAGGCGCGGGAGGACGGGAGGGACGGGGCCCCATTGCCGAGGCGGTCCGGAGGGCGCGCCGTTGAAGCGGACTCCATCGCGCTGCGGGAGGGGCTGCGCGTGGCGCGTGGGAGCCGTCGCTCGTGGAGGGGGCGGAGCCGGCACCCGGGGGCGGGGCCGGGCCCGGTCGACGGAACTCGCAGAGGCGGGCGGAATTATCGCGAGGCGAGGATTCCGCTGGGCTGCGGTGGCCGCAGTGCGTCTCTGCCAGTGTTGGGTAGTGGGAGGTGGGGTGCAGAGTCCCTTCTTTCGCCTTTTCGCACCACGGTGCTATTTCCGGCAGGGTTAAGGTCTTTGCTGCGGCAAGGTCACGACAGCGACAGTTTCGGGGCGGTCCCTGGCTGTTAACTGGGGATCTTCCCGCTGCTCTGCGGGCGCCACCTGTTCCCGTCGGTATAGTGTTTCCTCAGGGGTAGTACCAGAACCCAGGCCCAGACAGGGGAGTAAGCGTTCTCTTCTGAATTGTGGCGGAATAGCTCTCGTTTTCCTCATCTGTGAAATGAAGGGAACCAAGTGGAGGACTAAGTAACGCTGAGAGTGCCCTATGGACTCCCCAGTTTTCAGCCCTAACTTGCGTTTTCTTGGGATTCCCAGATTAAGACCGATCAAGATGACCACCTCCCAAAAGCATCGAGATTTCGTGGCCGAGCCCATGGGGGAAAAGCCAGTGGGGAGCCTGGCCGGGATTGGTGAAGTCCTGGGCAAGAAGCTGGAGGAAAGGGGCTTTGACAAGGTCTGGGGTCTCTGCGGGAGAGCTGCATGTGTGGGAATGGAATATTGCGGGACAGATTGGGAGTGAGGAAAAGGTAGCTATGTGGCGCAGTGTTGGGTAATGTGATTGTTTCTACGCTGGTGATTATCTTTTGGACTTAAAAAAAAATCAGTCAACAAATCATTTGATGAGTACAATGCATCTTGATCATTGTCACCCTTTTCATTGTTCTCCTACATTCTTCTCAAACCCACCCTGCAGTTTTCTTAATTGTATAGGCTATACACTGAATATTATGATTTCATCCACCTTGTGTGTTTTGAATGCCACAAAGGTGGTCTTGCCCTCCCACCCAACTTTTTTTTTGTGTGTGTGCTGGTCCTGAGGCTTGAATTCAGCCTGGGCACCAAGCCCTGAGCTTTGTGCTCAGGACTAGTGCTCTCCCTCTTGAGCCACAGCTCTACTTCTGACTTTTGGTGTTTAATTGGAGAAGAGTCTCACGGAATTTCCTGCCCAGTACGGCTTTGAACTGTGGTCCTCAAGTTTCAGCATTCTGAGTACCTAGGATTACAGGCATGAGCCACTGATACCCAGCCTTTAAACTCTTTTGTATTTTAATTAATTAATTATTTCTTTATTGCCAGTCCTAGGACTGGGCCTCTCTGTGCTCAAGGCTAGCACTCTACCACTTAAGCCACAGTGCCACTTTCACTTTTTCTGATTAGTTTATTGGTGATAAAAGAGTCTTACAGGCCACGCCAGTGGCCTTCTCCTGTAATCCTAGCTAATCAGGAGGCTGAGGTTTGAGAATCATGGTGGGAAGCCAGCCCAGGTAGGAAAGTCCATGAAGTGGTTTATTGGAGATAAACCACTCAAAAACAAGAAGTGGCACCGTGGCTCAAAGTGGTAGTGTATTAGTCTTGAGCAAAAAAAGCTCAGGTAGAGCTCCCAGGCCTTGAGTTCAAGCCCCACGACCAACTGTAAAAAAAATTTCAGGGGCTGGGAGGGTGGCTCAGTGGTAGAGTGTTACCTTACATGCATGAGGCCCTGGGTTTGAGTCCTCAGCACCACACAAGCAGAAAAGGCCATAAGTGGCACTGTGGCTCAAGTGGTAGGGTACTAGCTTTGGGCTGAAGAGCTGAAGGACAGCGCCTAGGTCCAGAGTTCCGGCCCCATGACCGACCCCCCCCCCCCAAAAAAAAAAAAAATGCAGTAACTTTATGTATAGCAAAGTGTTATCTGGCTTCATCCAACTTTTTAAAATAGATACAGGCTGGAGCTAGTGGCTCACACCTGTAATCCTAGCTATTCAGGAGGCTGAGATCTGAGGATCACCCTTTAAAGCCAGCCCAGGCAGGAAAGTTTGTCCCTGAGACTCTTATCTCCAATAAACCACCAGAAAACCAGAAGTGGTGCTGTGGCCCAAGTGGTAGAGCACTGATCTTAAGCTGAAGAGCTCAGGGACAGCGCCTAGGCCCAGAGTTCAAGCCCCATGACCAACAAAAAATAAATGAATAAAATAAAAATAAATAAATAAAATAGATACTTTAGTTACTGTGGACATTCCATTCAGGTATGCAATTCAATCACACTCTGTCATTTTCTCTTACCCCCTCGTTTTACTTGCATGCATGCAAACTACCTACTTGATCTTACTAATCTGTAGTGACTCCTGTTAGCCTAGCTCTGTTCTCATGCCTATTTCTCTTTCCCTGCCCCCTCCCCATTTCTTTTAAGGGTTTACTGTCTCTGGGTTGGTCAGGTGGGATCTTGTTACAGTTATTGACTCCTGACAAGTTGGCTGGTATTTCCTGGATTCCAACATGCTGTAAAGTGATTTCAGGAGAGACTGGTTCAGGAGAAAAGACATTTTCAAAATGAAAGTTGGAGTACCTAGCATTTATCCTGCTTTTACTTTATTTGTGGGCCCAAGTGAGGAGTCAGTGCTTCCCAGCAAAAGCTGCTGTTAAGCACCTGTTACAACCCCATAGAGCGTTTACCAACATGCCCTTTGCTTTGCCTGTTTTGCAGGCCTATGTGGTCCTTGGCCAGTTTCTGGTGCTAAAGAAAGATGAAGATCTCTTCCGGGAATGGCTGAAGGACACATGTGGCGCCAACGCGAAGCAGTCCCGGGACTGCTTTGGGTGCCTTCGAGAGTGGTGTGATGCCTTCTTGTGATGCTCTTTGGAGACCCCTCCACCCCCTGCCCCTGTGTTGAGTCTCCAGTGTTTGCAGCTGAGTGGAGACTCGTTCCTGCAAAAGAAAAGATTGCTGTTGTTACACTCACCTCCAATGTACACCAGGGTCTTTCGGGAGTTCTCTCCTTGTCATTTCAACTTTTTTGGAATTGCATGCATCCTCCTTCCTCTGCCACTTGCACACCTTTGAGAGTGAATTCCTGGCCTCTTTCTTCCCCTCCCTCCCTTCTGGTCTGTTGAATGCCATTTGGCCCCTTTTTTGGTAGAAGTCACTGTCCTTGTAAAGTTTTTTAGATCAATAAAGTCAGTGGCCTTCATGACTGGGCATTGTGCATTGGAAAGCAGGCAGGCCACGAGTCATCTCTTCCCCAGAGACTGGTGCGCTTTTTTATCAGTACATGCCGAAACTGGTGGCTTTTCTTTCTGTTCACAGAGGGAGTCACCCAAGCCACATGGGCTTTGGCAGATGCTTTGGAGTGTCCCAATCCCTGAATAATGTGGGAGAGTGTGGATTGTTCTCTTCCTGGGAGCCAGGTGGGCTGGGGTTCCAGATGTCAGTCAATTAATGGGCTAGGCAGCACCTGGTGGAAAAATCAGTGGGAGTCACAGGTACCAGGAAAAGGGTGGACCATATGTGGGGAAAAGTTCTTCTGTCAATCATCACCATCTGTTCTCCTGGCCTTTGGGAAATGTGGGAAGAGCTCTTGCTGTCTTCTCAGCTGTCAGGAAGGGAGGAAACATGGTCATTCCAGCTGGGAGGGCTTGAAGGAGTTAGACCCAAATACAGTACATTTTAACCCTGAGTTTTTGTTGCTGTTGTTTTGTTGAGACATCTCAAAATTTGTGGTTCAAGCTGCCCTTGAACTCAAAGTACATCCAGATGCTGACAGGCATATGTGCTTCTGCCCCAGTATGCCTTGTGTCAGCCTCTTTCTTAAGCACTTAGTATAGTCCTGAAGCAGAAATCCTTACATTTTTTTCCTTCTAGAATGATAAGCCATCTGTGTGTCTGTGTGTGCACACGCGCATGCTCATGCTGGTCATAGGGCTTGAACTCTGGGTTTAGGGGCTGTGGCTGAGCTTTATTTTGCTCAAGGCTAGCACTCTACCACTTGAGCCACAGCTCTACCTCTGGCTTTTTTTTTTTTTTTTTTGCTGGGGTTGAGGTGGCATGGGAGGCTAGTTTTATTGGAGATGAGAGTCACAGACTTACCTGTCTGGGCTTGCTTTGAACCGTGATCCTCAGATCTCAGCCTCCTGAGTAGCTAGGATTACACATGTGAGCCACTGGTGCCCAGCCATTGTGGTGTTGTTACAGTTCAGGCTAGTTTGCCTATGGACTTGCTGCTGGAAAGTAGTGGAAGTCAGACTGTAAGTTGGAAACCCATGTACTTGGGAGCCTGTGTGTCTTGATCATATCACCTCAGCCTTTCTGAGCCCATTTCCTTACTTGGAAAATGGCATTGTGGAGACCAGGTAAAATGTTGGTGCTCTATCACTCATTCTGCTTGGCATTCATTCCTTCAATCAAACATCATTAAGCAGTGCTCATAGTATAAGCAAAGCAGCTTTTCACATAACATTTAATGTCTGGGGAGGCAAGAGTGACAGCTATTAAATGGATAAATTGGGTCTATGTGAGGATTGATCATTTATCTCAGGATAGAAAAGCTGTAAGGAAGCCAGGCGCTAGTGGCTCAGGCCTGTAATCCTAGCTGCTCAAGAGGCTGAGATCTGAGGATCACGGTTCAAAGCCAGTACAGGCAGGAAAGTCTGAGTCTCTTACAGAGTCTCCAATAAACCACCAGAAAACCAGAATTGGTGCTGTGGCTCAAGTGGTAGAGCGCTAGCCTTGAGCTGAAGAGCTGAGGGACAACGCCAAGCCCAGAGTTCAAGCCCCACAAAAAAAAAAAAAAAAAAAAGCTGTAAGGAAGTTGACAAATTGAACTCAATTTTAGAAATTTCATTTAAAAACTTGAGTAGTGAGATAAGGCCTAGCCCAGGCCCAGCCGCTCTCTCTGCTCTTTCTCTGCTCTTTTCTAGCTCTCTTTGTTCTCTGCTCTCTCTCTGTTCTTTTCTAGCTCTTCTCTCTTTCCCAGCTCTCTCTCTTTCCCAGCTCTCCCAGCTCCCTTTCCCAGGCCTTTTGCCAGCCGCGTGGAGTGCCAACCTTGCCTGGTCCCAGCAGGTCTATTGAATAAACCTACCCCTTACCTGAATACCAAAAAAAAAAAAAAAACTTGAGTAGCTGGGCACTAAGTGACTCATGCCTGTAATCTTAGCTACTTAGGAGGCTGAAAAACAGCCTGGGCAGGAAAATCCATGAAACTAGAAGTGGAGTTAATGGCTCTAGTGGTAGAGCACTAGTCTTGAGTGAAAAAGCTAAGGAACAGTGCTCAGGCTCTGAGTTCAGACACTTGTATTGGCACCAAAAAAAACAGAATACAAGCAAACAACCATACCAGAGCGTGTGTGTGTGTGTGTGTGTGTGTGTGTGTGTGTGTGTGTGTGTGTGTGTGTGTATTTGTCAAGAAAAAGGCAAGATGGGACTGGGAATGTGGCTTAGTGGTAGAGTCCTTGCCTTACATGCATGAAGCCCTGGATTCAATTCCTCAGTACCACATAAACAGAAAAAGCTGGGAGTCGAGCTGTGGCTCAAGTGGTAGAGTGCTAGCCTTGAGCAAAAGAAGTTCAAAGACACTGCTGAGGCTTTGTGTTCAAGCCCCAGGACTGGTAAGAAAGAGAAAAAGGCAGACAAGAGGATAAAGGAAGTATCTGAAAGGCAGCCTCAGGAGATTATATCCTATTAGTCAGTGAGCATAGGAAAACACTCAATTTCATTGGTAATCAGAACAGCAAATTCCATCAACACCCACCCAATTAACAAAAATCACAAAGTTGGACAATACCAAGTGTTGAGCAAATGGAGCAACAGGAACTGATAGCCAGTTGGTGGGAGTAAATTGCTATGAGCATTCTAGAAAAACAGTTCAGTGTTATTTTGCAAAACTGACACACCCTGTGAGCCAGCAATTCCATTCTCAGGACTGGGCCTCCAAGAAACTTCGACACCTGTACCAGGACCTAAGCACCTGCCGGTTTTATAGGAGCCCCCAGCAGGGCATAGCACTGTGGTTCTCAGCGCTAGGGTATGTATGTAATTAAAGCTGCACAGCAAGGAAAGTGAATAATCACAGGACAACAGAAGAATCTGAGCAAAGGAAACAAAACTGGTTCCATTCTTGTAAAGTTAAGAATGTAATTCCTCCCTAGTGATGTCTACTTGTATGATAAAGTTAAAACCAAGAAAAATCCTTATTGTAAGAATCAGTAGTTGGGCCGGGTACCAGTGGCTCACGCCTGTAATCCTAGCTACTCAGGAGGCTGAGATCTGAGGATCACGGTTCAAAGCCAGCACAGGAAGGAAAGTCTAGACTCTTATCTCCAATAAACCACCAGAAAACCAGAAGTGGTACTGTGGCTCATGTGGTAGAGCGCTAGCCTTTAGCTGAAGAGCTGAGGGACAGGGCTTAGGTCCAGAGTTCAAGCCGCATGACAAAAAAATCAGTAGTTGGATCTGGGGGCTGGAGATGTGGCTCTGGTAGAGTTCCTATTTAACATATCCAAGACCCTGAGATGTATGTTCTAGGTCACTGCTTATGTATTAGCTATATTTCAGAATAATGGGATAAAAAGGAAAAGCAAAAGTAAAGACTTGAGGATGGAACAATTATAAGTCAGGAACTCAATAGTAAGCATGAGAATTCACTCAAAGCTGAGTCTGGGCAGTGTAAGTGGCCCACCCTGGAAGGGCCCCTGGTAGCCAGGGCAGGTGGTCATGGCCAGTTTCAAAATGTGCAGGAGCATTCTACTGTTTGGGTGGCACCATCCTAAGGCACAGAGCAAGGTACAGCAACCAGGCCGGTGAGGTGCAGCCCAGTGCTGGATGAAAGGGATCCCAAAATGACAACTGAGACATTTCATGAAATATTTTTAAGAATAAAATAGATGGCTGGGAATGTGGCTTAGTGGTAGAGTGCTTCTCTAGCATGCATGAAACCCTGGGTTCAATTCCTCAGAACCACGTAAACAGAAAAAGCCAGAAGTAGAACTATGGCTCAGATGGTAGAGTGCTAGCCTTGAGCAAAAGCAGCTCAGGGGCTGGGCGCTGGTGGCTCACGCCTGTAATCCTAGCTACTCAGGAGGCTGAGATCTGAGGATCGAGGTTCAAAGCCAGCCCGGGCAAGAGAGACCGTGAGACTCCTATCTCCAATAAACCACCAGAAAACCGGAAGTGGCGCTGTAGCTCAAGTGGTAGAGCACTCCCCTTGAGCTGAAGAGCTGAGGGACAGCACCCAGGCCCAGAGTTCAAGCCCCACGGCCGACAAAAAAAAAAAAAAAAAAAAAGCAGCTCAGGGACAGTGCCCAGGCCCTAAGTTAAAAGCCCCAGGACTGGGGGAAGGGAAAACAAAACAGATAAATACCAAAAGTCCAATTGAAAAATACCTAAATTTGAAAGAAAGCATCCACTTGTGTATAACTCAACTAACTTGCCTCCACCTCCCTCTACCAAATGAAGGGGCAGAGAGCCAGAGAGGCACTAGATAGCTCCCTCCACCTATCTGTCCCTGCTTCAGAAAGGTGTGCCCAGTGGGGGGGTCTCAGCCTTCTGCAAGATCCAGGCCTCTTCCCCTCCCCTGGAGCCCCTACCAGAGCTCCATACCATACACTGCAGGTCCCTGGGGCAGCATAAGAACCTGGAGGGGATTAGGGGTGGGAATCCATGCTTGGCAGTAGCAGGCCTGGATTGGGGGCGGGGGGCAGGCAGCATGATCGGGTGGGAGTGGACACACATCAGCACTCCATACACTGTGTGCTTCACTCCCCCCTCCTCACCCTACCTCTCCTACAGGTTCTCAGCATCCCAGTTGACAACACCCGTGCCATCCCGATGGTGGTAGCATGGGAGTTCGTCGTCTGAGCCCAGTGTATCAGTCCTCTCAAATCTAGAGCGAACCCTCACAAACGCCCCACATCACAGAGAGGGACAAACCTCCAGCACCCCTCAACATAGCACGAGACTCCCAATAGTCACAGGAGGCTATTGGTCAGAGTCAAAATGACAGAGGAGGGGTGAAAGCCCACACTAGTGGGAGTGCAGGGCCATATGCCCTCTGCAGGAGAGCCTGTACCCTGTCCTCTCAGCACCCAGTGGCAGCTTGGGTGCAGATGAGGAAGCTTCAGCCTGGTCAGAAGGCTAAGAGGCTACAAGCACAGGGTAATACCTCTCGAATCTTCACAGTGGGCACTCCTCCTCCCTCCC